GATCGAACTTGAATTTTGTGTATTTGTGTCGTTTTTGCAAAAATATAGCCGTAGAAAAAGTATAGTAAGCAATACAAACGATTTCTCGGCATCCTCTTACTGTATTGTGCCCATGGAATATCCTATATGATACCGGCAGGCATCCAGTGATCCAAGATACAATGCATCCGTATTACTAAGTGCCATTTGGAATAAAAAGCCCTACCGTGCGAGATTATCGACAATTCCTGAATCTAATGTTAAGGAACAGAAAATTGAAATGTGTTTGGCATGTAGAAGTAAAGAAATAAAAGTAGAATTAGCTTACTTACCATTCTTCCATTACTATAAATTTTGATGTTTTTTCCGGGTTATACGCAAAAACAGCCAAAATTGTGATCGAACCGTCTTAAACAAACACAAACTTTTGTGATTAGTTTCTCAAATAAACACTGTCTAGTTAAATAACGTATATATAGCAACTGTTAATGCGGATAAATTTTAACAAAAGTTACAGGGAAATTGCAACCAACTCAAATTTGAAAATTCTCTCTGTTCAGTTCAAATTGGCCATCCAATTTTGGACACTGTTACGGTGTATCTCAGTTATTTTTAAAGACGTGAAATTCAAGATGCCGCCAACAAAATTATTGTGACTGCCTTGGTTTTTGAGTTTTTGAGTTATTGAAGTGTTAAAAAAAAACGCTAATATAGGGTTTTTCCGCAGAATCCAGTGACGTAGTTTTTTTTACTTACCCTAACCATTTTTTAGTACTGAGGCAAACACATATATGTATTAAATATTAATGTTTTGTTAATATGATAAATATTATATCGTTGTGATGTTAAGTAGATAGTTGGCTATGACACATGTATTACAAACAAAAAAGCGGAGGTGTCAAAAACTTGCGAGACTGTCATTTTTTAATTATATTTTTATTACCTATCTATTTGTTCTTTCTGTGTTTATTTCATTTTAATTAATTTAGTGTAATAATGGCAGTGTATGAAAATTGAAAAATGCCCAAGAAGTTTCGGAATTATTGTTATTATATGTTGTTTTTATATTTTAGAAATGTGTTTTGTTTATATTAGATACCCAGAGAGTTCACAAAAGTTTCTAGCCAAATTTGCTTTTGTGAAAAAAAAAAGATGGCTTATGATCGTGAACAATGCATGTATTTGTGTTTTTATTGACGTTGAATTTTATTGGTGTAATTATTGATTATTCTGTTTTTAAAGTTTTGTGGTGTACTTTTTGTTGTTGACTAATGGCTGAGCATCAAAAAACAAGCAAAGGAAAATCCTATCGACGAATGCAGGATGTAACTAAAAAGTTACGCTTAAGTAATCATCAAGACAAGACTGCAAGTGTTCAAGACTTAAATGCTTCCAAAATCTCACTGCGGCCTATTTAAGCACGACCGTGTCTAAGTTTGATCAACTACAAAGTTATAGATAGATAGCTAGATTTATTTGGCCACCTTTTTACATAAAAAGTCTTTACAACAAATGGCGCGTCAGCAGTACAAATGAAAAAAGGACAGATTTACGCTGACAACTTGTAGTTATGGATAAATAAATCGTATAAACAGAGTCTTAAGAAAGAAAAATAGCAAAATTCCATGCCCGAAAGCAATATGACTAGATTTGGTACGCAGTTATTAAAATAGGTTAAAACGGGACGGACATAACGCACAGGCCATGATGAACAATCTTTTTATCTGAAGACGAATCCGATTTTCATTCATTTTCGTTTACTTATAAGGTGAGATCGTTAAAAAAGAACGAACTTTGTGATAATCCCAGGGTGAAATAAAGCTTTTTCAGCCTTACATGGCATAACTGCACAAAGGGTACAAACTGTACATAGCGGATTGAAATCAAAGGTTCAGCGCTATTAGGTATGCAAGGAAAGCAATGACACGTATTATCTTAGACCACTTTTGCTCTACATGTTCAACATATATATCCTTTCAGCCTCTGAAGGTTTTTTCTGTGGTTATACTGAAGTTTCAGCAAAATAGGGTGCTGATGATGTTTGTTCACTGTTATATTGTTTATTTTGTTAAAAAACTTCACACAATCAAAATGGTTTTTCCTGTTCGTGGAGATTCATATCTAGAATACATTAGATGTATGGGTTTGGTGAAACAGAAAAGGTACTTTGAACTGCCTCAAGATTGAAATGCAGTTTTAAGGGATTCTGGAACAAAACCAAGCCCTTTTAAAGTTATATACTGTGAAGGTCAGTTGGACCATATTTCTAGCGGATATCTAGATGCCCAAGTGTCCTTTTCCTTCTAGACCGGTCAAAGAATTAACTGTAACCGAAAATCACCTTGAAAATGTTGTCGTAAAGCAAAAAAGAAAAACACTTTTCCTACCTGAAGAGTGTTTTTTGCTTCCAACTTTAGCCTATGTTGGGCCAGTACATGTATCTAAAGCTAGATTTCAAGGCCAGGATTTTTTTACAACAATACCACGTTGATAAGATTACAATAATAGATTATGGACCTTCATGTTTATTGCCAAGTTTTTTTTGTATCAGAATCAAAGTTTTTTTTATACTTTTGTTTACCATGTTCTTGCTAAATAAAAATCACAATTAATTAAGTTTTTCACCCTTTGTACCCTTCATTTCCTAATACGTAACTTTGCTAATAATTAGTTGTTTTTTTTTTTTCAGTTTAGATTAGTCTTCTTGGCAAACGTTGGTGAAAGCTTATACGTCGAAACTAGGAAGACGGTCGAGGTCTGCCACAGGCTTTTGGAAAACAGACAAGGGCCCGGTCTCGCAGAAAACGACATCGACATCTTTTTATTGGCCCAACAGGCGGCCCACCGAACATTGGAAATATCGGCTGCAGGGTTTTTTTCCGTCAATCATTCTTTAGTCGTCTTTGTACTTTCGACTGTGGGTGCTTATTTCGTAGTAGGCATGCAGATTTTGTAACCATTTAACCATAGTAGAGGATCCGAACTAAAATCGACCCTCGCCATAGTGTCGACCAGATAAAAATAACATTTTATCAGATAAAATAAGTTCCTGAAGATGACTTGATATGGCAATGTTCAATATTGATTTTAATTAATTGTTTATATGTAAAGTTTTAAAAAATTAAACTATCAACAAAAACGTCGCTTACTACACAAATGACTCGCAAACAGCCACATGTTATTAGATTATTGGACAATGTTTTTATTTATACGGGGTCCCGTTACAACTAGAACATTTTAAAGGCTTATTATAATGTTTTAATTGGTGTGCTTTATTTACTAAATGTGATGTTCGCTTACGAAATAAAAATTTGCCAATATGTACTTTGGGCAGCACGAAACACAGGGTTTAAAATAGAGTGTAGTGTTTTATGTAAACGTTGGGTGAAAAGCCAACCGTTCGGGAGATATTATGCTACAAACATGGTGGAAAAAAAAATTCAATTTGTTTCTTAAAAACGAAAAAAAAAAATCTATAATACAGGGCACAGAAGATATTTGAAAAAATATAATTTTAGATTGCAATTACCAGTACAAATTTTGATATTTATGCCGTAGGCCGTAAATTAGAATTTCGACGAGATGTGAAGGACACTTTATACGGGGTGTTTTCCCAATCAAATTACATCGATTTTGCGAAAGTTCCATAGTGGTCTACAGAAGCACGATAGAAAAACATTGCGTCCCTACAAAAATCGATAACGATAGGTATTATGGGATCGCTGTTGGTACGGAAATGATCGCCGTCGAAAAAAAAATTTTTTTTGTTTGTCCGTTCTCTGTTCTCCGTTCTCCATTCTCCGTTCTCGTCTTTTGGTTATTCTTGAATAACTTTCGAACCGTTTTAGCTATAAAATTGAAATTTGTCTTCTTCACGAGGCACATAAGCTTATTAGAAATTTCCCTGAGCCGACTCCGGTCTCCATCTTTTTTTTCGCGATTTTCGACTGTTTTTTGGACATTGTTATGAAACACGATAAGTGGCTGAAATTTGAAGCAATCGACTTCATATTTGGCACGTATTTACATGGGGGGCTGGGGGATCGGGAAGTATTCTAGAAAAAATAAAAATCGTGTGTCCAAAAGTCTTCAAAAAACATCATTTTTCAAAAACCGTTTACGAGACCAAAAAAATTGTTGAACCAGAAGACGCATCAACTCCATAAACTTTTGTTTTTGAAAATTTTTCAAAAATATACAGGATGCGCCGCAAATTCAAAAAACTGCATAATGGATCCCTGTATTACGGAAAATTGGTTATAACTGAAAGACATTGAATCAGATCTCACTTTCTTTTATATTCTTTGCCCGTATAGACAGCAAAAACTTTTGTATTTAAGGTTTTCACCTCTTGTACAGGGTGTTGCCGATATTCCGTGCTAAATGAGTGTCCTAAATTTGCAGATATCAAGTTCAAGTTGTTTTCTCGAAAACCATTTACTATTTTCAAAAAATTCTTTGACCAGGAAACGTGGAAGATCCAGGGCTATAACCTCTACGTCGAACATTGTTTGAATCATGTATAGGATGTGTCGTTTAGGGTAAAAAAATCTAAAAGATCCTAAAAACCGTTAAAGATGGGATAATTTTATTTGAACTGTGTCGAGAGAGAGTTTTAGGTTTCGTCAATTATACATTATTTGTGCAAATTTTAATATTTTCCGATGTTTACTGTAACTGTAAGTTCGACAAGATGTGAAGGACGCTTTATACAGGGTGCATGCAGGTGGTCCGCAGGAACACGATAGAAAAACATTGCGCTCCTTTACCACACGAAACCGCGAGGTAATAAAAAGCTGTTTCGCTATATGCGTTACGAACGACGATTTTTCGAAAGCAATCTTGTTACCTTCGGAATGAAATAGCCGCAGGTGGAAAAATACAGAAGTAATTACTTATCCGTATTTTGTAAAATATCAGTTTCGCTGTAGGAAGTCGGCATTAACTGATAGTGTTATTAGCATCATCATCGTCGCAGAGGGATCAAGATGCTGTCAATTTATAGCCTCGCCAAAGCCTCATTTGTTGAATTAAAAACGGAAATTCGGGATTTTCGACTGGGTATAAAAGCTTCGAACTTTCAACGTAAGATCACATTCGAACCTTCCCCAAAATGAAAGTGATTATTTGCGTTGTTGCACTTCTTGGCCTGAGTCTAGGTAAGTTTTAAATAATACAGTATCAAGTATCACTGCCTAGTTGTTTAAACTGAACCAGAGGCATTTCTGTTAATATATAATGGTTACAACAATTTAAAATATTATTTAAGCTCATCTGCTATTGCTACTATACTACTCATCTTTGTTTATATTCTCTGCATATCAACCAAGTGTTTTACTTTGGATATCGTATATCCAAATAAGCTAATTCTCCAATTAATTAAATTCAATTTTTTGAGTTCGTTTGCTAACTAGAGTCACCTTAACAAGTGCCTGTCATCTATTTTCGGATTATTCATGTAATACCGTTGTTATTGACGATACAATGTCAGACCACAGATCAATTTTACGTTCAGCAAGCTCTGTCGATAATGCAAATATCTTTCTATTTTGAACAAGCACTGTTTCATGAAAATCGGTCTAATATGTATAGCGTATGTAGTCTTGATTGTGCCTTTGACTATTTTTATTTGTTGCCTTTGTCAAATTTCAACAGGCATATTACTTTTTCGAGGTAGTAGATCCTCAATACAAGCAGTGGAGTATTTTTTGTTCGGATCTTCTATGACCTCAGTAGGCCGTTTGGGTATTTTAATAGAAAACTCATTTTCATCTAACTTAGAGGTTATTTTGTAAAATAACCAAAAGTGCTCGCTAATTTACTCGAAATTTTTGTTGAACTTTCCCAATTGGTACGGCTCATGTGAAAACATTGAAGGTTTATAAAATAGCTAAAATAGATATGAATAAAATGCAAAATCTTGTTCAATTTTTATATTTTATATATATTTTTATTATTTTGTTTGATTTTTGGAATATGTAAGAGTAATTCCTTCCAACCTATTTACAATGCTGCGTAAACACTTCAATATCCTTATAGAACTGCACAAATGGAAGACCCTCACTCCATCTAGTCTATCTCAATATCTTGCACTGATAAAAAAGCAAATCGTTTTATTGAAAATACCACAGGAATTATTTTTAACTTTCCTGATTGGAAAATTCTTTTCCGTTATCACATGGACCACCCAAATCAACTGATCAATTGATCTTGACATACAAAAATTAATTCGTAGTCAGAGAATTGCTTTAGCATTTGTTTTTAACTCAGATCGGTGTCCAACATTATAATATTTCTATACTACTTCTTTTAGTAGGCCATGAAATGCAAGTACATTATTATTAAAATCTTATATTATACTGCAATTTTATATAGGTCACAGTCAGTTAGTTTTAATTCAATGATATTGATTACAATCTAGCAAGATTTTTTGTTTGTTGATTGTTTGTCATTACAAACTTCATAAGGGTATGATTAATTCGTTATATCAAAAGAATATTACTGTATAATAACATATTTCTAAAAAGTAGTTACTAACTCGAAAATTACCAATCGAAAATTGGGAAATGTTCTTAGCATAATTTTCAAAATTCTAATGTTTAGTTCATGATCGTCTGCCAATGTTCATTTATGTTCGTTTATCCGAATGTAAGATCTGACATTGTTTTCATGAGGCAGCTGCTAATCAGCATATTAGAAGTCGACCATGCCAGAAAACAGAAACCACATTCACATCACTTTATTTTGTATTCTTGATATCTATATAGTTGTTCCGCAGAGATCGGTTATGGGTAATGTTCTGTTTAAACTCTACATCAATGATGTAGAAACCTCCTCTATAGATTCATCTTTCATGCTACGTGCTAATAATTGTATTGGTTTTAGGTATTATTTTACTATAACAAAGAACAGAAACCACATTTACATCACTTTATTTTATATTCTAGATATGGGTAATGTTCTGTTTAAACTCTCCATCAATGATATAGAAACCTCCTCTATAGATTCATCTTTCATGCTACGTGCTAATAGTTGTATTGGTTTTAGGTATTATTTTACTATAACAAAGAACAGAAACCACAATCACATCACTTTATTTTATATTCTTGATATGGGTAATGTTCTGTTTAAACTCTACATCAATGATATAGAAACCTCCTCTATAGATTCATCTTGCATGCTACGTGCTAATAGTTGTATTGGTTTTAGGTATTATTTTACTATAACAAAAAACAGAAACCACAATCACATCACTTTATTTTATATTCTTGATATCTATGTAGTTGTTCCGCAGAGATCGGTTATGGGTAATGTTCTGTTTAAACTCTACATCAATGATGTAGAAACCTCCTCTATAGATTCATCTTTCATGCTACGTACTAATAATTGTATTGGTTTTAGGTATTATTTTACTATAACAAAGAACAGAAACCACAATCACATCACTTTATTTTATATTCTTGATATCTATGTAGTTGTTCCGCAGAGATCGGTTATGGGTAATGTTCTGTTTAAACTCTACATCAATGATGTAGAAACCTCCTCTATAGATTCATCTTTCATGCTACGTGCTAATAGTTGTATTGGTTTTAGGTATTATTTTACTATAACAAAGAACAGAAACCACAATCACATCACTTTATTTTATATTCTTGATATGGGTAATGTTCTGTTTAAACTCTACATCAATGATATAGAAACCTCCTCTATAGATTCATCTTGCATGCTACGTGCTAATAGTTGTATTGGTTTTAGGTATTATTTTACTATAACAAAAAACAGAAACCACAATCACATCACTTTATTTTATATTCTTGATATCTATGTAGTTGTTCCGCAGAGATCGGTTATGGGTAATGTTCTGTTTAAACTCTACATCAATGATGTAGAAACCTCCTCTATAGATTCATCTTTCATGCTACGTACTAATAATTGTATTGGTTTTAGGTATTATTTTACTATAACAAAGAACAGAAACCACAATCACATCACTTTATTTTATATTCTTGATATCTATGTAGTTGTTCCGCAGAGATCGGTTATGGGTAATGTTCTGTTTAAACTCTACATCAATGATGTAGAAACCTCCTCTATAGATTCATCTTTCATGCTACGTGCTAATAATTGTATTGGTTTTAGGTATTATTTTACTATAACAAAAAACAGAAACCACAATCACATCACTTTATTTTATATTGCATTGTATTGCATTGAACGTGAACTTAAGCTTATAAGCTACAAGTGAGTAAGATCACATCAAGTGGACCCCCCTATTTACCACTTGATCATAAAAATTTAATCTATATATATTTTTTATAAGTACTTATGATGGAATATTGATCCCCCAAACGATTTTTTAAAATTTTGATTTTAACAACATTTTTTTTAATAATGAAAATTGTAAGTACTTTTAATTAAAAAATGGATTAAAAAACACCCGTGAGAGCAGTGAAATTTTCTTCCGAAATCTTAAACTTAAATATGTAAAGCATATGACCGATAAAAAAACGTTTTTTTTTTTTCACCAAAAAATCAGTTAAATTTTCATTTAACTTAAAAGTTAGTTAACAATACGAAAACCAACAATGTCGTTAATATATTCTTAAAGTATAGACATTTGACCATGGATGCTGAAAATGTAATAAATTTATCTCTTACGGTTGATTTTTAATCCATCTTTTAATTAAAAGTGCCTAAAATTTTCATTATAAAAAAAATATTGATAAAATCAAAATTATAAAAAATCGTTTTTGGCAGCAATTTTTCATCAAAAGTGGTTATAAAAAATATATATAGATTATTTTTTTATGACCAAGTGGTAAATGGGGGGTCCACTTGACGTGATCTTACTCAAGTATAAATTATATAGAAGTCCTTGTTAATGTTTCTAGAGTGCTAATCAAATTTCGCGTTGCAATTTCAGCCGACTCATCGCTAGTTAGTGATATCGATTTGGCAAATGTCACCCACGGCACCATCGGCGGTAGAATCGTTGGTGGTGTGCCGGTAGATATCAGGAATTTCCCCTACCAAGTGGCGATCCTTCGCAACGGAGCACAAATCTGCGGAGGCACCCTTATCTCTGCCAGATGGGTAGTCACAGCGGCCCATTGCTTGGACAGCGAAATCATCACCAGTGTCACCCAATTGAATGTGCGCGTGGGTTCCACCGTTCATAACAGCGGAGGCCAGAGAATAGCCGCCCAATCCTACAGGCTGCACGAGAATTATAGACTAAGACAAGTGGATTACGACATCGCTCTCATCTACCTGGCATCCGCTGTGACATCTCCGAATGCGGCTGCGATCGCTTTGGATCCCGCAACCAGAGACTATTCCGCAGGTGAAGTTACCACCATTTCAGGATGGGGAGACCTTTGGGAAGGCGCAAGACAAGGTTCACTCACACTTCAGGCTGTTCAGGTAAATTTATTCGCTTCTTCTTGTTGTTTCCTATTCGAATTTCTTCTTCTTCTCTGGCACTACAAGTTGGCCATCGGCTTGGTCGATCCTGTGCCCTGATTTCCAATAAAATATGTTCCCTTCCATACAATTTCTCAACCACCACCGGGTGAATTTGGTGATCGTTTATTTCAAAAACCCCCTATATGAACTGGAGCATTTCAAGTATTGCTTTCAATTTAATAAAGAATGTAATGTAATACCTCACTTTAATTAATTACTGTTTTGTATTTATAAACATCGGTACCGTTTGATACTCGCATTTGATAAAGGCATTTATGTGAAAATCTGAACAACGTTTGTTCTTATTTAACTATTTTAAATGGATTTTCATCAAGTAAAAGCCACTTCAGTACAATATAATATTATTGATACAGGGTGTCCCACAAGTGTCCCCCCGACATCAACTTTGTTATTTTAAATAGAACACCCTGTATATTTCGTCATTTTTTGAACCCTTGGTTAAAATAAAGGTCACTTTCTTAAGAAATTCCTATTCGAATTTTGCACAGTTTATGCAGAAATTGAGGTTACGTGTTTTTTTTTCATATTTTGATTGCCCCATATAAAATTGTGTTGTGACGCTACTGATCCAGGTGTTGCAAACAAAATTTTACCGCAGACTAAGGAGATGATACACTACTCAATCAGTTTGACAGATGCGATTTAGCTTATACAGGGTGTCCCAAATAGGTGGTGCCGTTTATTTGAAATCAATTAACAAAATCTCACGATTTTCAAATGAAAAACCCTATATTTCGATGCAGATATATATATATATATATATATATATATATATATATATATATATATATATATATATATATATATATATATATATATATATATATATATATATATATATATATATATATATATATATATATATATATATATATATATATATATATATATATATATATATATATATATATATATATATATATATATATATATTTATCTTATATTTAAATTTTTCTTACTTTTTGAGATTTACGAGGTTTAACGATATATAAGAAAGAAAAAGACGCGAAGAACTGAATTTGAAAACCGCCTTGACAGCAGAATTAATAATTCTTTTGGGCCTACTATGTTACGTTTTTTAAAGTATTTTAATATAACACTTATCAAGATATTATATTTCGTTAGAAATGACTGGAGATTGTAAGAGATTCTGTACTAAGAAAATGCAGTCGCGTACCATCAATGTCTGCCGAAATAGACAGATGAAATTTTGTACGTCCGCAAATTGGTGTATTTAAAAAAAATGGTATACTGGTAAAGAAAGTAAAGATGAAGAAAATATTTTATTTTTGAAAACTTTACTTTCTATATAATTGCGTAGGCTTTCACGGCCCACGTCATAATCTGTGAGATTTTCCCGGCGGTTAGGCGTGGCGTGGTCCATTGGTTTTACTAACAAAGCTTTCATCTGCTACTGCGGCAGAACTTCCGGCATCTGAACAGTATATATCCAAAAATCCAATTTACTATGGAAAGTGAACAGGATCGACAACTCCCATTTTTCGATGTAATGGTAAACCGAGGCGATAACCTAAGGTTGGGACATAGAGTTTACCGAAAAGCCACTCACACGGACCGCTACTTGCACAAAAAATCTAACCACCATAAAAAACAAAAGAGAGGAGTTGTTAAAGACTAGTCGACAGGAATTAGTCAGGGGAATTGAGACACTTCAAGCAAATGGCTACAAATAACGGACCATAAGACCGAAGAAACAAAATAGACGGGAGCCTAATAAAGAAACGCCTCCCATATATCGGAGGAATAACGGACCGGGTCGGCAAAATAATGGCGAGACATAACATACAGCCAATTTTGAAACCCACAGGAAAAATACGATAACACTTAAGATCGACCAAAGATCCCCGAAAACCGCTGTCTTCGGCCGGAGGTATACAAAATCCCATGTTCATGCGGACACGTGTATATTGGAACAACAAAACGCACCATATCTACGCGCTTGACTGAACACAAAAGATCCTGTCGCTGGGAACAAATAGAAAAATCGGCGGTGGCAGAGCACATGTTCACCAATGGAGATCACAGCATCAAATTCGACAATACCGAAGTTCTGTCTACAGAGAAACATTACAATTTCAAAAAACGTGAAAAGGGGTTACAAGTAAACAAAATATGGCACAACGTCCTGTAAAAAACGCAAACAAAACCTTATAATAACAACACGGAGGGGGGGCACGGAAGCTCAAACGACCGTTCAGTCCGCCGTCCGTCCGAGCGGTTTGAAACAGGTACAATCTACGTTCCACTGAAGATATCTGCCGCAGTAACAGCTGAAAGCTTTGGTAGTAAAACCAATGGACCACGGCCTAACAGCCCGGAAAATCTCATAGATTTACTTTCTATGTATCTCAAAGGTTGCGACGTTTCGGGTATAAGTTTTAAAAAATATTAATTGTCGATTAGGTTGCAAATCGCCTTCTTTTGACAGGTTCCTGTAGTATCCCGTACCAGTTGCCGTAACATATACGGTTCCGTCATTACCAGCAGAGTGTGGTGCGCAGGTACTGCCGCAGGAGGTAGGGACGTAGGGACTCCTGCCAGGGTGACTCCGGTGGCCCTGCTATTGTCGCAGGAAGATTCGCAGGCGTGGTCAACTTCGGAGCCGGTTGCGCCAGACCCGGATTGCCCGGAGTTTACGCTAGCATTCCCTTCTACAGGAACTGGATCAGGACCCACAGCGGAATTTAAATGTTGACATGAATTTCAATAAATAATATCCATTACTGAGCGTTTTATGTTGGAAATTTGCTCGAAACGAGCTTTCTCGTTCGATCTCCATTTTTAGTTGGTAGTAAACAATTCGATTCAATTGTTACAAACGTAGAAACACTACGAAAACGAACCTTTAACCTTCCAGAGGTGGCGCCAAGTCTGACAGACCCGACGCAATCTCAATCTCACCGTGGCGGTAAAATTTCCAGTACTTCAATACCTTCATACAGCGGATAGTATTATTACATCTACGAGTTAAAAATTATTACCGAAAAGGTCTGTGAGACTTGACGTCAGTTTTCTTGTCACTTTCGAAAATCGAAGAAATCGCTAACGGTAGGTCCTATGGGATCGCCATTGGTACAGAAATGATCACCGTCGAAAAAAAAATTGTTTTTGTCTGTCCGTTCTCCGTGTTCGAAGTGTTTTCGGAGCGCGAGCATTGAAGATGCCAAGTGAGATTTTGGCGAAACGTCTGCAGGATTCCAGTCGGATGCAGGATTTGCAGGATTCCAGTTGGAGTTCAACGAGCGAACGGATGATATCCCGGAATATAGTGTCATCACATTTTTCCATCCGTGAATCAATACGTGAGAATATATATATATATATATATATATATATATATATATATATATATATATATATATATATATATATATATATATATATATATATATATTTCGAACATTTCGAACACTGTTTTCGGAGCGCGAGCATTGAAGATGCCAAGTGAGATTTTGGCGAAACGTCTGCAGGATTCCAGTCGGATGCAGGATTTGCAGGATTCCAGTCGGAGTTCAACGAGCGAACGGATGATATCCCGGAGTATAGTGTCATCATATATATATATATATATATATATATATATATATATATATATATATATATATATATATATATATATATATATGTATATATATATATATATATATATATATATATATATATATATATATATATATATATATATATATATATATATATATATATATATATATATATATATATATATATATATATATATATATATATATATATATATATATATATATATATATATATATATATATATATATATATATATATATATATATATATATATATATATATATATATATATATATATATATATATATATATATATATATATATATATATATATATATATATATATATATATATATATATATATATATATGACACTATATTCCGGGATATCATCCGTTCGCTCGTTGAACTCCGACTGGAATCCTGCATCCGACTGGAATCCTGCAAATCTTGCATCCGACTGGAATCCTGCAGACGTTTCGCCAAAATCTCACTTGGCATCTTCAATGCTCGCGCTCCGAAAACACTTCGAACACAGTGTTCGAAGTGTTTTCGGAGCGCGAGCATTGAAGATGCCAAGTGAGATTTTGGCGAAACGTCTGCAGGATTCCAGTCGGATGCAAGATTTGCAGGATTCCAGTCGGATGCAGGATTCCAGTCGGAGTTCAACGAGCGAACGGATGATATCCCGGAATATAGTGTCATCACATTTTTCCATCCGTGAATCAATACGTGAGAATATATATATATATATATATATATATATATATATATATATATATATATATATATATATATATATATATATATATATATATATATATATATATATATATATATATACATTAATATAATTTACTAAAATGTTTTTTTTTTCGATTTGACTTAATACGTATTACTTTCTGAAATAATAGGACGTAGCTTTAAAAGAAAACAGCGAATAGGTCCTTATAACGTAATTTTACGCTTTTAATTTAGCCTAGTTACTTATCTGCAGATTGTAAATCATCTAGTCCATCATTTGCAGTAGAAAGTTCGCATTATCTGATAGTGTAGTTATCATTATCATCGTGACAAAGGGATCAAAATGCCGTCGAATTATATCCTCGCTAACCCATTTGCGGAATTAAAAAACCAAATTTCGATTTTTGGAGGATTAAAAATTCATTCGTCTTTTCATTTAATATGATTTGGACGTTTCGTATTGAGTATAAAAGGCCCAAATCCCCAACGTACGGATCACATTCAAACCTTCGTCAAAATGAAAGTGACTATTTGCGTTCTTGCACTCTTTGGCCTGAGTCTAGGTAAGTTTGAAGTAACAGAGTATCAACTATCGACTAAGGTTCCAATAATTATTACAATTATTTATCTAAACTGAAATGATCAACTGTGATTGCGTTCAGATATTCAGTCACTCGGATCGCATTCACCTGTTTTTTAATTAACAATTAAAGATACTATTTTAGTACCATCTGGTTATTAATAAATACTACATTTAATATACCATCATATATGGGTTGTTTTCTTATGGAATTCAATAACTAAGGGGGTGATTTAAGTAAAGTTTTCAAGAATTAAAAATATTTTTTTTATATCAGTAATATAACTTTAGACATTTTAATGAAATTGAATGAAAAAATTGGCATGCCATCGACAACTTTTTTTGTAAAAAATAAAATGTCTATCTAAAAAAAAATATCTAGCTTTTAGCTACGAACTAATGTCTGTAGAAAAAAAATTAGAAGACCTTTTTTCACTTTTGCAGTTTTAATGAAATAACATAACAAGATAAATAATAAACGATTCGTATTTAAAAAAAATCTACCTACTATTAATAATTTTTGACAAAGTTGGCTTTAAATAAATTAATATCAACCATTTTGAAGGATACACTAAATTGAAAAACTGATGTCCAACAACCGCTTTGACAACAAAATTAATAATTATTATAGAAACAGCCTACTACAGTGATAAGGGTTTTTCAATTATTTTAATAAAACAGATAAATATCTAAATTCGTATTACCGATATTAAAAATACAATATTATATATATCATATATTTGATTACTTTAACACCCTGCATCTCAAAAGTTCAGACGTTTAGGACATGCGAAGTATTACATAATTTTTGGCATTCGTTCAATTAGCAAAACACCTTGTGTATCTTTTGCTCATTAACCGACGACTTTTTTGCATAGTTTCATTTCGTACTTATGTTTTTGAATGTTCCAGTCGCTGTAGTCAATATGAAGTAATTTTTTTTAGCTTTCTGCATTCAATTTTTTTCATAACTTAAAATGTTGGACAGTTTCTGAAAAATTAACTTTATAGTCGTGTTTTACTACTTACTCAATAAAGATAACTGATTCAATTGAGGTGGATTATATGGATTATACTAACTTTAACAAAATAAATAAGAACTAACAGTTCAAATGTTCACGAAATTATACGTATTCACTTGACAATTGTTTCGACAACACCGTGTGTTTATCAATTTAATTAATGTTATTGTGAGAATTTAAGTTTATTAATGCAGAGGTATTTAAATCTAATTGGTCGTTAAGCAAAACAAATTAGATGTTTTAAATTTACCGTAAACCTTCACACACGGACACAGTCATACATAACAGCTCAAATCACCCTTACACACAAAATGGCTGCATTTCACTCTTTTATACACGGACTTCTTAATACGCCACTCTCAACAGAAAATTACATTAAAGAACTTAATACCATTAAACTAATTGCAATTGAAAATTTTTAAAAAACAATAAAATGAAATGAATAAAATTTATATTGGACAAATAGATAGATCCTTCAAGAAACACATTAACGGACATATAACAACATTTAAATATAGTCTAGATTCTAATTATGCTACATACTTAGCGACATTTTTGATATTTTACATCCAGCCACAAAAAGTAGGAAATTAAATTAATTAGAAGCCATGGAGATTAACAAAATGGGACATTCAAATGTAAACCTCGCCATTATTAAACTTAAATCCTTACAATAACGTTAATTAAGATTTTATTGTCATTTTTCGGTATATATGGCAGCAGGTAGTTTGAAAATATTACATTTGATGAATACAAGGTGTTATCGAAGCAACTGTCATACGAATATATATATAATTTCGTGAAAATCAGAACTTTTAGTTTTTATTTATTTCGTTAAAGATAACTGAATTGTGGTTCAGCTTGCGATTGCCTGAAATTCAAAAAATTTGAAAGAAACTAAACGGGTCAGTAAACAACAAGCAAATCAATTTCAAAAAGTACATCAAGATAACATCCAAATTTGCGAGGTTAATATTTCTGCCGTGGATGCTTTCCAAGTAATAGGAAAATTCGATTTCGGAAAATTATATAGAAAGTTTGAGGAAAGGTTCCAAAAGGGGCTGAAAAAAATTGCAAAAGTTATAAATAATTTAGTGAAAAAAAAGGGTTTTGTTTTTTTTGAATTAAACAATCGTTTTTTGCGAGTAAATTTAAAAATTAAAAAGAGATTTAAAATTTTATTAATAATAAATAATAAAAGTTGAAGGCATGATAATATTAAATGTTATATAAAAAATAGAAAAAAAATTTCATATAAAATAATACATGGCTGTTTTTATCTTGATTGATTGAGTATTGAAAAAAAATAAATGAAAAAAAAATAACAAATTGTTTATTAAATAGACAAATAAAAAATTAAGAGAAAAAATGTTTGTATGAATCTGAAAGAGTGATGGAAATTATGATTTTTATAGAAAAAACGGTTCCTTAATTTTGAAATATACTCCCAAAAAACAAATGAATTTTTTAGCAACAAATATTTTTTTAAGGAACCCTTTTTTCTCTAAAAGTCATAATTTATGTCAATAAATAGATGACCAAAAATTTTTTTCTGATTCGCTCATAAACAATGTATTTGTTTATAACAATTTATTAAACAATGGTAGTAAAAAAATGCAAAAAAAATATTTTTATATACCATTATCAGATATCAAAACACTGCAGATGTCAACAAAAAAATATTTTTTAATAAACTTTTTTTTATTTTTTAATTTTCGATTGTTAATAAAAAAATAAAAACCAAAATTTTAAAATTTTTACAATTGCGATCTACTTGTAAGCCTAATACCAATAGCTCCACGAAGTCAAGAAATTCCTAAGGCTTTTGTCTAATAATTATCGAACAAAAAAATAATTTATGAACAAATTGGAACAATTTTTTTTTGTCGGGCGTTATTGTTAATTTGTGTATCCCAATGCTACATTAATTTTTTTATTCCTTAATATTCATATTTAATATGTTTAAATAATTTTAGTAGCGACACGCTTGAATGTTTTCGCTCATATGTCAGGGCTCCATAAAAATTATAAATATTGGAGGTACAGTTCCTGGAGCTGGCACTTTTTTTTAGCAAATTTGCTGATCTTTTCAGATCTTTTTTAACATTTCGAAAATTTTCATTATTTTTCGAGATATTAAAAAAAACAGACCATTATTTTTTTTTTCACCTAACTGTTTATAACTTTTGCAATTTTCTTCATCCCCTTTTGGAACCTTTCCTTAAACTTTCTACATAATTTTCCGAATCGTAATCATAATTTTCCGAGACTGTACAAACATTTTAGAAAAATGGTACATGTTGACCAGACTAAAAGTTGAATTCAGAAACAGAAACGACCATCATAACACAATTCTTAAATAATAAAAATATCACATATAGACATATTTTTAATTTATTTATAGTTTTTATTAGTATTCGGATGATCTCTGCAGCACCGAGAACGTTTTAAGAGTGCTTCTCAAAACTCGCGTTGCCATTTCAGCCGACTCATCGCTAGTTAGTGGTATCGACTTCGCGAATGTCACCCACGGCACCATCGGCGGTAGAATCGTTGGAGGGGTACCGGTAGACATCAGAGATTTCCCCTACCAAGTGGCAATCCTTCGCAACGGTGCACAAATCTGCGGAGGCACCCTTATCTCGGCCAGATGGGTCGTCACAGCGGCCCATTGTCTGGACAGCGACGTAATCACCAGTGTCACCCAATTGAATGTGCGCGTTGGTTCCACCGTTCATAACAGTGGAGGCCAGAGAATAGCCGCGCAATCCTACAGGCTGCACGAGAATTACAGACTCAACTCGGTAGACTATGACATCGCTCTCATCTACCTGGCATCGGCCGTGACATCCCAAAATGCCGCCGCCATCGCTTTGGATCCCGCAACCAGAGACTATTCCGCAGGTGAAGTTAGTACCATCTCTGGATGGGGAGACCTTTGGGAAGGCGCTAGACAAGGGTCGATCACCCTTCAAGCTGTTCAGGTAAATTTATTCGCTTATTTTTGAGTGAGCGAGCTGAAGTTTTGCTCCTTTTAAACTGACCATGAGACACATAAGCCCATTGGAAATGGCCGCGATCAGAAATTGACATCTATCTTTTTTTCGCTATGGAACAAGATAAGCTTACCAAGCCGCTGGCGTGTGGCCCCCTAACGGAACCAATCGAAATTGGGGGGACTCAGGTTTCGGGAAGTATTTTAAAAAAATTAAAAACCGCATTGATCTACAAAAAAATCATTTTTCGAAGACGGATTTTATTCTCGACATATTGCACAGTGTCAGTCTATTTTTTTTGCTTATTTTGGGTTTTACAAAAATATTATTTTCTCCGAAACCATTGACCCGATTGAAAAATATTAGTGGGAATCGCTATTCCTGGTATAATTTTTTATATTTTCTTATACAGGGTGCGTGCACAATAAAATTATATCGATTTTCTGAATGTTCAGCTACGCAGCTACGAGTCTTCGAAAGCAGATTTGGGAATCGTTTATTTCAAAAAGCACATTATTTCTGTCTGTCTGCTAACTTTCAGTATTTAGGTTTCATCAAATGATTTGTAGCTTACAAACCTAAACAATATACGGTTGATGGTACATTAGATTTAGAACTGAAGGAAAAGATCTGGCGATCTTGCTGGCCAATTCCCAAAACGTCGAAACCATTGGTTATTAAATAATTCGTATAATTCTTGGAACACCCCATCTAGTTGGTACCAAGAAGTTCCTGAAGGCTAAGCTTCTAGAGAAAATCACTTACCGCTGCTCTCAATATGGACGTTATTTTCAATGATTCAAAGCGAATTATAAAATTTGCTTTATTATCTTCTATTATGCACTAAATTTCTTTCGAGATTTAATTTCCTTTGTGACATGAGAATGGTCGACAGACCAAAATACCCTCTTGTGAAAATTTTACCAAACCAAAATTCATTAGAATATTGGTTTCCTTCCATTTAAAATCGATTTTATTGAAACCGGAATCAATTATCTGTAAATAGTTAATGAACCGTCAAACGGAAGTTATTCAACAAAAGGCGGTTATTCCATGGCCACCTAAAAGATGCCAAAGTAATCCAGTCCAGACATGGTACATGGACATTAGTTACGACCAACCCTGTATGATGTAAAATTAATTTCGATATCTGTTCGATACCTCCATAAACTGAGCCCAAAATTTTAATTTGCTATTAACTCCAATCTCGTAGTGATAAGAAATTAATTGAAGTTCTGTTTTGGTCGGCAAAACGGAGAAAATAATTATTTTCACGAAAACCGCTGGAGATAGGTATAGGAATGTATTATTCACCAAGTATCGTCAAGTATTAGCGGATCAGAAAATGCAATAATATACCGGGTGTCTCATTTAAAATTCCAGCGTTGATGCTACTTTTTAGGAAAACGGCAACATCGCGGCTTTTAAAATATCGTTATTTTTACAGGTTCCTGTAGTATCCCGCACGAGCTGCCGTAACGTATACGGTTCCGTCATCACTGACAGGGTGTGGTGCGCTGGTACAGCCGCAGGAGGCAGGGACTCCTGCCAGGGTGATTCCGGTGGCCCTGCTATTGTCGCAGGAAGATTCGCAGGAGTGGTCAACTTCGGAGCCGGTTGCGCCAGACCCGGATTGCCCGGAGTTTACGCGAGCATTCCCTTCTACAGGAACTGGATCAGGACCCACAGCGGAATTTAAATATTAGAAAGATGTCAAATAAATGATTTTCAGTATTGGAGCCTTTTTACTGTGCGGTTGGAAAAGAAGTTGGTTCTTTGTCATAGATAGATACATCCCTTATTACCACTTTATGATTAAACATTAAAAAAAAATAACACAAAACGTTACTATTGCACATTAAGAAAGAATATGGAGCGGCAATCAGAGTTGAAACAGTGATTCTGAAGGAACTTTTTTTACATAATTTAATTTTTTTATTACTTTCTATTGTAGTTTATTATATAAGCACAGATTTCAGGTATGTTCAAAAAGAAAGTTGACTTTTTAGTTTTATCAAAAAGTATTTATTTATTCATCAAAATTAATGCACCTTAGGGAGAATACACTTGTGCCAATCCTCAAAGCACTTCTGGTAAACACATGCTCGTATAGCCTTGAGTGCTTCCGGTGATTTTTTCCTTATGTCCTTAATCGTTCGGAACCTCATTCCTTTCATAGATTCCTTGAGTTTTGCGAACAGGAAAAAGTCGCCGGGGGCCATATCCGGTGAAAACGATGGCTGAGACAGACTGAGTTAGACACAAGCAAGGATGAGTGAGCAGTTGTTTTTCCTCCGCTCTGGAATACTTCTTGGTATCTTGCAACAGTCTGTACCGCCTCTTTTTACTCGGAGTAAATTTACGCAACATTATGACATAAATTGCGAGACACCATACGTGTAAAACGTCCACGAAAACTGACCAGAGGCGTGCGTCTTTTGCACGATGATGCACCAGTCCATACAAACCAAAATTATATTTCTTTAAAGTTGTTGTTAAAGAGATGTCATAAGTGTATTGAAGTTAAGGGGGATTATATTGAAAAATAATAAAAAATTGTTACTATGCTTTGTTTCTTTCATATTCAGGCCGGGAAATTTTGGCGCCGCCCTCGTAAGTAGTAAAAAAAACGCGTTATTTCGAATAATTTTTATTACCAAAATATCATCCTAAATCAATATGGCGCGTTCGAGATCTTAACCTATTAATAATTAAAGTAAAATCAATATTGACACTGTCAGTACAAATGCGAGATTCGCCGCATGCAAATCTAAAATAAATAACGAAAATAAATACCTAAATTTAACCCTAAACCAGCCCCATGTGAAACGACGAAAAAATATACGTTTCAAACGTATATCGTTCCGGCCGTTTCGTATTTTACACGCAATTAATTACTTTCAATAATCAGTCAGGACGTAATTGCATATTTAAGTACCGTGGAGACAAAACGTTCAAAATTTTTGCTTATTTCAAACATTTTACGCGGTACCTACTGAATGCATTTCACATCGATGGCAAGAGCGCACTTTTCCTACGCCGATACGAAATGTTGAATTCTTCGATCGGTACTTGCCATCTGCTCTTCGAACGATTGTACTCCGTACAATGGAAGAGTTTGGAGGTCCTTTCGCATCTCCTACGCGGAAAAAAAACCCACGCAATCGATAAATCCTCAAGTTGCTTCGCTCAAAAATCTCACCTGCTTATTTGCCAGTAGGCGAATCCCTCTGGACATTGGTAAAGGTACCCTTCTAATCCACGTCCACTTCGATGGCATTTGACGAACTCCTCAGAGCATTCGTTCGCTTCCAGCTCGTGATAGCCTTCGTTCGGGCACAGGGATCTTTCCGTGGGGACACGAATCTGCAAATAAGCTTCTATTAGAACGACGAACCTCAACAAGACATTCGGTACTCACTGGAGGCAAAGAGTTGACATCCAACTTCCTTAGCAGACTGGCTTGCGCTATTTCACCCCTACACGCTCGACTGGTTTCGTTTTGAGGCAAGCATTGGATTCGATCGTCGTCGTAGACCGTACCTGTCGGACAACTAAGTACTAGAATTTTGTAGTCGTGCTCCTGAGATCCTTGGGTGCATTGATAGAACAAGTTGCAGTATTTGGGATGCCTTCTGAAACCGGTCGGACAAATCAGAGCCACTTGCTGCCCTTCCAGCTGGCTAATGGGGCAGGACTCCCATTCGGTCCCACCGGTTGACCCAGAACTAGTAGTCGTAGTGTCAGGATTCACCGTAGAAGTCGTCGAAACACCATCTGAGGTAGTAGTGGTATCTACGTTGGTTGAAGTACCAACCGACCCAGTAACTTCTGTATTCTGCGTAGTTATTAAAGGTGAGTAGGTACTAGTAATGCTGGCTAACGTTGACGTAACGGAGTAACTCGAATCGGTAGCTGTAGAAGTGCTTTGAATTCCAAACGCATCGGAAGTGGTAGTCCTTTGTCCATCAACAGTAGATGACGTTGATGTTGTGTTGTAAGATGTGGTTACTGTACTTTGTGTTACCGATGTTTCCACGGGTGTTGAAGATCCCTGAAATTTATTGCATTTTTTTTTCTGTTATTTATAGTACGTTTTTACTCACGGCTTCCTCTAGTCCTTGGCGACATTTGCCCTCCACTGCCCAAGGGTAGTTACACGTAAGAGAATTTTGATCCCACACGGTTCCCCATCCGCAACTAAATTCGTACGCGGAGTATTGGTTTTTTCCGTTCTCAACGCATCTGTAAAACTTCGAACAGTTCCTCGTGTCACCTATGAATCCATCCTGACTGCACAGGGAAGCCGTGCTTTGATTCTGCTGTTGAACGGAACTCGATTGTTGATTCGAGCTTTGGTTAGTTCCGCTCGATCCCTGCTGGGGGGCGTTGTCGGTCGTTTGCTGACTGGAACTACTTTGAGTCGATTGCTGCTGCTGATTTTCAGTTTCCTGGCTAGCGCCTTGGGATTGCGGTTGATTGCATATTCCTGAAACAACATACGGATAGTTGCACGATTGGATACTCTGGTCCCAAACGGTTCCTTCCCCACAAGTGAACTCGTATTTACTGAAACCATTTTCAAGGTCCCCTACGCATCTATAGAATTTTTTGCAGTCGCTTTCGTCTCCTACAAAACCTTCGGCGATACATTTGTTATCGACTATTTGGCCAGGTTTTTCAGTAATTGGTTTGTTTCCATTTGGTTCTTGCTCTGTTTGTCCTGATGCAATTGACGCGTTGGATCCCTGTTGATTATTATTTTGTGATTGATTTGATCCTTCACTGTTGGAACTTTGATTCTGTTCCTGGTTCTGACTCGAACCTTGAGTTTGATTTAACCCTTGCTGCTGACTGACTGAACCCGGTTGATTGGAATCCGGTGGCTGTGACTGCCACGTTTGCTCACCTAATTGTTGGTTCGAGCTTTCAGTAGTCGGCTGAAGTCCTTCCTGGTGTTGATTTTCACTTTGGGGTTGATTCATACTAGGTTGTTTTTGTTGACATTTACCAGTAACTGAGTATGGATAATTGCAGGATTGTGTGACTGAATCCCAAACAGTTCCTTCAGCGCAAGTAAATTCATATTTTATTAAGCCATTTTTACCGTCAGACACGCATCTATAAAACTTCTTGCAATTGCTGTCGTCTCCAACAAACCCTTCGGATGTACATTTTCCTTCATTAATTTGCCCGGGTCTTGGTGTGGTTGTGACCTGTTGAACAGATTCTTGTGGGGTTGTTCCTTGTGGCCCCAATTGAGTGGTTTGTCCCTGAATGGAACCTTGTTGATTAGAGTTTTCTGATTGGGAACCCTGTCCCTGATTGGAACCTTGTTGACCAGATGCCTGTTGATTAGAGGTTTCTGATTGGGTTCCTTGCCCTTGATTGGAACCTTGTTGGCCAGATGCCTGTTGATTAGAAGTTTCTGACTGGGTTCCCTGTCCCTGGTTGGAACCTTGTTGACCAAATTGTTGTTGATTAGAGTTTTCTGATTGAGGAGCCTGACCTTGATTAGATCCTTGTTGGCCAGATGCCTGTTGATTGGAGGTTTCTGATGTGGTGCTCTGTCCCTGATTGGAACCTTGTTGACCAGATTGTTGTTGATTAGGAGGAGCCTGTCCTTGATTGGAAGCTTGTTGGCCAGATGCCTGTTGATTAGAGGTTTGTGATTGGGTTCCCTGTCCCTGATTGGAACTTTGTTGACCAGATTGTTGTTGATTAGAATTTTGCGATTGAGGAGTTTGTCCCTGATTGGAACCTTGTTGGCCAGGTGCCTGTTGATTAGAAGTACCTGATTGGGTGCCCTGTCCCTGAGTGGAACCTTGTTGACCAGATTGTAGTTGATTTGAATTTTCCGATTGAGTAGCCTGTCCCTGATTGGAACCTTGTTGATTTGATCCTTCGGGATTTGAACCTTGCGATGACTGCGGTTGATTTGGATTTTGATCCGGTGTTACTTGGGAACATTTTCCACTAACTGAATATGGATAATTACATGACAGGCTAACCTGATCCCAAACTGTTCCATCTGCACAACTAAATTCGTATTTTATGTATTCTTTTGCACCATTCGAGACACATCTATAAAATTTCTTACAGTTCGTGTCATCGCCTACGAATCCTTCGGATATGCATTTATTATTCTGAATTTGAGCTGGCTTTTGAGTAGCATTCTCTTGACCAGACTGGTTGGGACCTTGCTGAGTTTGTTGCTGACTTGATTGATTTGAACCTTGTTGATTACTTTGTTGAGTCGAACCCTGGCTCTGTGGTTGATTACTTTGTTGAGTTGAACCCTGACCCAGTTGTTGATTTACACCAGATTGAGTTGACTGAGTTGAACCTTGCTGACTAGTTTGTTGATTCGAACCCTGGCTTTGTTGTTGATTTGATTGTGACGAACCTTGCTGATTTGTTTGTTGACTGGAACCCTGACTCTGTTGTTGATTTACACCAGATTGATTTGATTGAGTTGAACCTTGTTGATCGGTTTGTTGACTGGAACCCTGGCCTTGCTGTTGATTTGATTGATTGGAACCTTGACTTTGTTGATTAGCTTCGGACTGGGTATTATTATTGGACTGGGTCGATTGATTGGATCCTTCGGTAAGCTGTTGTTGCAATCCTGGCTGACTTGAAGTTCCGGTGCCTGATTGAGTTTCTTGACTTGGTTGAATTTCTGGTTGAGCCAAGGAACATTTTCCTTTCACCGCGTAAGGATAATTACACGACTGAATTGCATCATCCCACACCGTACCATCCGCACAGCTAAACTCATATTTGATATGTCCGTCTTTGCCATCGGAGACGCATCTGTAGAATTTCTTACAGTTATTTTCATCTCCTACGAATCCATCAGAAGTGCACTTCCCCTGACTAATCTGTCCAGGTTTTTGGGCAGTTGATCCGGGTTGCACAGAACCTTCATTTGCGCCGGATTGACTTGACTGATTATCCGACGAGCTTGAAGCAGAAGAACTCTGTTGATCGGTACCTTGGTTGGAAGATTGATTGGATCCCGAGGTTTGTTGGTTTGAGTTATTATTGGATGATGAAGCCTGTTGACTGCCTGAACTTGATGAACTCACTTGATTTGTTCCTTGGTTAGGAGATTGACTTGATTCCTGGTTCGGTGGTTGATTTCCGCCAGATTGACTTGACTGATTGCCCGACGAGCTTGAAGCAGAAGAACTCTGTTGACCGGTACCTTGGTTGGAAGATTGATTGGATCCCGAGGTTTGTTGGTTTGAGTTATTATTGGATGATGAAGACTGTTGACTGCCTGAACTTGATGAATTCTGCTGATTTGTTCCTTGGTTAGAAGATTGACTTGATTCTTGGTTCGGTGGTTGATTTCCGCCAGACGGATTCGATTGAGTCGAGCCTTGTTGTGGATTGGTTTCGGGCTGGTTATTATTACCAGATTGACTCGATTGACTGGATCCTTGTTGATTCGTGTCGTGACCACCTGTAGTTTGTTGTTGCGATCCAGGGGGTTGACTTGAACTCTCTGGGCTTGATTGAGTCTCTTGACTTGGCTGAATTTCTGGCTGCGCAAGGTAACATTTTCCTTTCACCGAATACGGATAGTTACACGACTGAGTTAATTCATCCCAAACAGTACCATCCGCACAATTGAACTCGTATTTGAGGTATCCGTTTTTACCATCGGGGACGCATCTGTAGAATTTCTTACAGTTATTTTCGTCTCCTACAAATCCGTCAGAAGTGCACTTCCCCTGACTAATTTGTCCAGGTTTTTGGGTAGTTGCTCCGTGTTGTTCAGAACCTTGATCTACGCCAGATTGACTTGATTGGTTGCCCGAGGAGCTTGAAGTAGAAGAACCCTGTTGATTGGTATCTTGGCTAGAAGGTTGATTTGATTCGGATAAGCCGCTAGAGGTTTGTTGATTTGAATTATTATTAGAAGATGACTGTTGACTGCCTGTCGAAGCATTCGAAGAACTCTCTTGATTTGATCCTTGGTTAGACGACTGACTGGAACCTTGGCTTGGATTTGATTGATTTGAATTTTGGTTTTGTTGCTCATTAACTTCGGATTGATTTGACTGATTGGATCCCTGCTGATTTGAGTTATTGTTGGATGATGAATTCTCTTGATTTGATCCTTGGTTAGAAGAGTGACTGGAACCCTGGCTCGATTGTTGATTTTCAACAGCCTGATTGGATTGATTTGTTCCTTGTTGTTGATTAGTTGAGGACTGGTTATTATTGCTGGATTGACTGGACCCTTGTTGATTTGATTCCTGGCCACCTGCGGGTTGTTGACTTCCAGTACTTGATTGAGTTTCTTGTTCATTTGGTTTAATTTCCATTTGAGCAAGGTAACATTTTCCTTTCACTGAATATGGATAATTACACGACTGGCTCGCTTCATCCCATACCGTACCATCCGCACAATTGAACTCATATTTGATGTATCCTTTTTTACCATCGGAGACGCACCTGTAGAATTTCTTACAGTTATTTTCGTCTCCTACAAATCCATCAGATGTACATTGTCCTTGATTAATCTGGCCAGGTTTTTGAGAAGTTGATTCCTGCTGCCCAGAACCTTGTTGAATCGGTGACTGTTGATTTCCTCCAGATTGATTTGTTTGGTTGTTCGAAGAGCTTGAAGCAGTTTGACTCGTACCTTGGCTGAAAGATTGATTGGATCCAGATGAACTGTTAGATCCGTTTTGTTGGTTACCATTTGTCTGGTTCGATTGAGATGATTGATTTGAACTAGAGGCCGAACTTGTGGTTGAATTATTTGCAACATTCGATTGAGGTGCATAACAATTCCCGGAAACAGCGTGAGGATGATTGCAAGATTGTGTATTGCTATCCCAAACAGTGTTGGGAGCGCAAGCAAATTCGTATTTAGTAAATGTATTTTGGCCGGTCGCTACGCAACGATAAAATTTGGTACAGTTTGTTTCATCTCCTACAAATCCTTCCGAAACACATTTATTGTTAACTAGTTGACCAATGGTCTGAGCTCCAGAATTGCTTTCTTGGTTATTTCCAGCTTGTTGACCCAATCCCTGCTGACTTGTCGATTGTGCCTGATTCTGGTTATTGCTGGAAGAAGAACCGGAACTACTGCTTGACTGCTGATTCGATTCATTGCTCGAATTATTATTTGAATTTTGCTGGCTAGACGTTTGCTGGTTATTTTGTTGATTCGAGTTATTTGATCCTGAATTTTGTTGACTTGAACCTTGATTGGAGGATTGGCTAGAACCGGTTGAACTACTGGAGGTTTGTTGATTTGAGATATTGTTAGATGCTGAGGATTGTTGATTGCCTGTTTGTTGATTGTTATTGGAGGAGCTAGACGAACTTTGTTGATTTGTTCCTTGATTCGAACTCTGAGTCGATCCGGATGAGCTACTGGAGCTCTGCTGGTTATTTCCTTGATTCGAATTACTGCTTGATCCTGAACTTTGTTGATTTGAGCCTTGGTTAGATCCGGATGAACTACTGGAGGTTTGTTGATTTGAGTTATTATTAGATCCTGAGGATTGTTGATTGCCCGTTTGTTGATTGTTATTGGAGGAGCTAGACGAACTTTGTTGATTTGTTCCTTGATTCGAACTCTGAGTCGATCCCGATGAGCTACTGGAGCTCTGCTGGTTATTTCCTTGATTCGAATTACTGCTTGATCCTGAACTTTGTTGATTTGAGCCTTGGTTAGATCCGGATGAACTACTAGAGGTTTGTTGATTTGAGTTATTGTTAGATCCTGAGGATTGTTGATTGTTATTGGAGGAGCTAGATGAACTCTGTTGATTTGACCCTTGACTGGAACTCTGAGTCGATCCAGATGAGCTACTGGAGCTCTGCTGGTTATTTCCTTGATTCGAATTACTGCTTGAACCTGAACTTTGTTGATTTGAACTTTGGTTGGAGGATTGATTGGATCCGGATGAACTACCGGAGGTCTGTTGATTTGAGTTATTGTTAGATCCTGAGGATTGTTGATTGTTATTGAAGGAGCCAGACGAACTCTGTTGATTTGACCCTTGACTAGAGCTCTGAGTCGATCCAGATGAGCTACCGGAGCTCTGCTGGTTATTTCCTTGATTCGAATTACTGCTTGAACCCGAACTTTGTTGATTTGAACTTTGGTTGGAGGATTGGTTGGATCCGGATGAACTACCGGAGGTTTGTTGATTTGAGTTATTCGACCCTGACCCTGAACTATTGCCACTAGAGTTTGACGAGGAATTTTGACTTGATGAAGTCGCATTTTGAAAAGACGAGCTACTCGATGAAGAAGACGATGAAGAGGAAGAATTAGAAAAGTTAGACGAAGAACTAGACTGTGAGGAGTTTGAAAATGTGCTATTTTGCCAGTAGGTGCTGTCAGAATTGTCGGTGCTATCGTGACTAACGGGTAACTGACCACCGTCCGCATCCTCCGAGCAATCTCGTCGTGATACTTGGGCCGGATGGTTGCAAGCTGTTATTTCGGGGTCCCAAATGGTTCCTATCGCGCAGGCGAATTCGTATTGGAGAAAATTATTCGCTCCATTTGCAACGCATCTGTAAAACTTCCGGCAGTTTATTGGGTCCCCTCTAAATCCTTCGTTGATACAGCGGTCCGGTTCGCGCTTGACTGCGTTACTTGGAGTGGTAGTAGTAGTTACAAGCTTGATAGGATTTTTAACGTCTCCAAAATCTCCGTCGATTCCATTGCCTAAAATGTTCGTAATTGACTATCGGAAAATAAAACCGGTGATACTATGCACAAAACTTCTGGATTCCTCCTACGTGCTTGCTTGGTGAAACATTCAGTTAAGCTCTGAACGTTAGCAAGTTCGACTCAAAAACTGATTCAGGAGGGATCCGAAAATTGTATAAATAGTATTACGGTGTATATAGTATACGGTATAAATAGTATGTGGACGTTTCTAGAAAGATGTAAGACTGATGGTAGTGTTACGAGTGTGAACGATATTATCAAAGAGGGTTGTTTGCTGAGAGATTTGTACAAAGTTTGTAAGGATAAAAAAGATATCGACATTGTAAATAAACATAATATTTTTAAAAAGCTAGCATTGAAATTATACAATAATAATTTTATGTTAAGTTCGAGCAGTATATCGCCAGCATCTTGGTAAATTATAAAAAAAGAGGCAAACATTCACAAAGGTAATGAATGACCTTCCTGGATTTTTCACTAATAACAATAAAACTATATCGGATATGAATTTGGCTTCATCTGCTTTTAATGATTTCTTTATACAGTCTATTAAGCGACTAACTTCGGTTGATTTAAATTTTAACGTAAATTTAGGAAACTGGAGTTGTAGAACATTGTTTTGAGACCGTATTCGAATGATGAAACCAGGGAAATAATTTTATCCGTTCCTAAAAAGCATCCAGCAGGTTTTTATGAAATACCGAGCTCCCTTATGTTGTCCGTTATTGGTTTACTTGTGGATCCATTATTAATGGTACATTTAAAGCTATATTAAAAAAAAACATAGGACAACGACAACCGATATTCAAAAGGGGTAATTTATACGAAATCTCTAACTATAGAAGACTAGCATTGGTGTCGATGTCAAGAATTTTCAGTAATAACTAGTTTGGGTTTCGTTATGACATGATGGAATTGCAGTAAAATACTAAGCAATTTAGATAATAATAAACCAACAACTTGTCTTCTTTTCGATCAAAAAAGAGCTTTTGACGCAATTAATATTGATTTGTTGCTTCTCAAATTAAATTATTATGGTATTCGTGGCAACGCTCTCGGATGGTTAGAGAATTTCCTAAAAGATCGTGTGCAAAATGTTGTCTTAAAACAAAACGATAAGAATTTTTTTTCTAGTGATGAGATGACCTCCAGTGGCGTTCCTCAGGGACGTATAAGGCGGTAGTAGATATTATTGATTATTGTAACAGAAATAGTATTATATTAAATCAAGATAAAACCGAATTGATTCATTTCTCATTAAGAGGCATAGATAAGAGCATCTTAGTTAAGTGTAATAATAAAACGATCGAGGAGAGGCGGGTTGCGAACTTTCTGGGAGATTATTTCGATTGTGGTCTTTCTTGGTCTCCTCAGGTGGACTATATTCTCAAAAAATTATCCACACTCTGTTTTGTCATTTGGCAACTCAGAAGAAGGGTCGATTATAATCTTTTATTGCTATATTATGATTCGTATATTCAGTCCTGTTTGAATATTGAAATATTTTTGTTCCAGAAAATGATTATTCGTGCAATGCACTTTAAACTGAAACATTATTTCTGCAGAAATATATTTATTGAAACGTAATTACTGACATTTCTGAGTCTATACAGATTGAATTCGGTAACGATTGTTAAATCTAATTATAATGAGTATATATATATATATATATATATATATATATATATATATATATATATATATATATATATATATATATATATATATATATATATATATATATATATATATATATATATATATATATATATATATATATATATATATATATATACATAAAAACCTCGGCTAACAAAGGACTTAGTGGGTTTAACATAATCAAACCTTCCTTAAATTATTTCAATTCAATATTAAATTCAAAATAATTTTGGTCTAAAGAGCAATCTAATAAATCTTGTTTCACCAATGGGTTAACCTGTTTCCGAGTGAGGATGAAATCTACTAAATCTATCACATAGGTGGAATACTGGGAAATAAGTTTTGTACATCAAAAGACAATGGTGTTGCGTTAGAGGGGATTTTGATGTCTTTAATTTTGTTGATTAGATTGATTGGATACCTCTCCTTTTTTGAACTTAAATTCACGCAACAACATTAATTAACGTTTTATGGTAATTTTTCGAAATATATAGTAGCAGGTAGTTTGTGAATATTATATTTGATAAAGACACGGTGTTGTCGAAACAATTGTCATGTAAAAGTATATAATTTCGTGAAAATCTAAACTTTTAGTTCTAATTTATTTTGATAAACGGATTTTCATCAAGGAAAAACCACCTCAGTTCGCAAGGAAAAAACGCTGGTCCTCGCTCACCTCCACATTCTTCCCTGTTGCTCGCGTATGCGTAATTGCAAGCGCCTATGGCGGGGTCGAATACGGTACCATCTCCGCACTCGAAGGCGTAAGGAATTAAAAGTTTTTTTCCATCAGAAACGCATCTGTAGAATAGGCTACAGTTTCGATTGTCGGGGTATATGCCTTCATTGGAGCATGTGAATATACCAGAATGCTGGAGAAGTTGCCGGCCGCCTCTGTAATTGAGCTCGTCAATTCTGATGTCGAAGTCAGCTGCAATAAATTGAGCAAATTTCAACGTTTGTATAGGAGCCACCGAAAAATAAAAAGTTAAACAAACTATATGCAACCCAACAACCTAACTTCATGCAATGCTTACAAATAAGTCCATCCAAAGATTGATAACGATTAATAGAAAAAAATTAATTAAAAGGAAACTGAAAGGTCTTAATAAATCTCTATTGAGCAATTGATTTTTAGTGGTGTATTTAATACGTCTGTATTATACGACCAAAAATACAGTGCATTTATTGATTTGACGGTTTAATTGTTTTACAATTTACAAGACCTTTGCGGGACCGTGGGAAAACCCATCCCAATACGAGTTTATCCCGTATTAAGTAGGTAAGGTTGACCGTAACGAAATGTAAATGGACCGTTTTAAATTTGATTAAACATTTGATGCTGCGGGGTATTTATTTTAACGTCAGGTGATATGTATCGTTGTGTTTTTTAACAGTTTAAAATGTGGAGAACGTGGAATGAAGCAGATGTTCCCCTATTAGAAGAAGACATGGAAAACAAAGCAGAATTTGAGGACGAAGTAGTAGAACTTAATCACAATTTAGATGACGAACCACCTCAGCAAATAAAAAGCGTATCTATTTGTCTTCGGATGCTGGACAAATTGTTTTGAATGTTTGCAATTTTATAAGAAAGGGGGAGTAGGAGCAACAATTATAACAAGATTGCTTTCGAAAAATCGTCACCGGGCGGGGCAAGTTCGCAGCGCGTAGCGCCAAGCAGCTCTTTATCATAAAAGGAAAGAACTTGTTTTGTTTTGCATTGTTTTTCTATCGTGCTCCTGTGGACCAAAATCATGCACCCTATATAAAGTGCCCTTTATATCTCGTCGAACTTCAGCAAACATCGGTAAATATTAAAATTTGCACAAACAATATGCGTTGTCGAATGATATCTCGCGCCCTGTATAATTGACTAAACCTGAAACTCTCACGACACGGTTTACCCATCTTCAACGGTTTTTCATTTATCGCCAATAATTTAGCCACAAAAACGGAAATTTTTAGCATATTTTAGATTTTTTGCCCATAAACGACACACCCTGTATATGATACGATCAATGTTCGAAGTAGAAGTCATAGCCCTGAATTTTGCACGCGTCCTGGTTCAAGAATTTTTTGAAAACAGTAGATGGTTTTCGAGAAAATAAGTTTTTTCTGAGCCGTAATAATCAATGACGTCGTGGCATCTTGACAGCCCCCGAAATAGCGATTTCAATAAGGATTTTTTTCAAATATCCCGAGCAGCAAATGTAAAAAAATTTTTCCTATAATTTGAAAAAAAAAACCCGTATATGATGGAAAAAATGCCTGAAATAAATGTCATTGCAGTGCCAATCGGATGAACGATTATGAAGGAAAACATATTTTTCTGGAAGCTAAAATTACCCAAAAGTAAAACATACATATTTAAAAAATACTTGCTAATATTATATACTTGCTATATTATATAATATACTTGCTAAATTTGAAGTTGATATCTGCACATTTCTCATTTAGCACCGAATATCGGGAGCACCCTGTACAATAGGTGAAAACCTTAAATTCAAAAGTTTTTGCTATCTATCGCTATATCGCAATATAACAGGTAATATAAGGTGAATCATAGTCTTTCAGTTACAACCAATTGTCAATAATAGGGGGAGCCATTTTTCAGATTTTTTGGATTAGCTGCGCATCCTGTATATTTTTGAAAAATTGTCACGATTAAAAGTTTATAGAGCCGTATCTGCTGCTTCTTCTGGTTCAAGAATTTTTTTGGTCTCGCAAACAGTTTTTGAAAAATTATGTTTTTTACAATACTTCCCGACCCTATTTTTAATAGGTTCCGTTACGGGGCAAAGCTGCATATATGTGCCAAATATGAAGTCGATTGCTTCAAACTTCGGACAGTTATCGTGTTTCATAGCCAGGTCCAAAAAACAGTCGGAAATCGCGAAAAAAAGATGGATACCGGCGTCGGCTCAGGGCCATTTCTTACAAGCTTATGTGCCTTGTGGAAGGTTAAAAAGGACGCAAATTTTAATTTTGTAGCTCCATCGGTTCGAAAGTTATTCATTAAAAACCAAAAGACAAGAACGCAGAACGGAGAATGGACAGACCAAAAAAAAATTTTTTTTTTTCGATGGTGATCATTTCTGTACCAACGGCGATCGCATAGGACCTACCGTTACCCACATATAAAATTTTTATATGAAAAGTAACATGATCAAAATTCCCAAGTCCACTGTGAGAAAAATTGTTGCAAATGGGACAGTCAATAATAATAATAATAATAATAAATAGCCTTTATTATAACAAAAAGAAAACAAACAATATACAATATTAATATTTTTCAAAACAAAGTAAACAGGTAGCTCAAAAGCGGCGCAGTCTAGCTTTAAATAGCTACTCTACTGAACGGCTAAATTACTATTTATAGAATTAATAAATTGCGCGCTATTCATTGGAATAAAAAATGGATGAACCACAAATAAAATATGAAAATTACCTGCAAAATCAAAAGAACAACATAACATTAATACACACTACACTACTTATCAATTTAAGGAATGCAGTATTTAAGCATAAGATGGTGGCACTGTGAGAGTTTTTAAAGAGCAACACGCAGATGTAATTAGTGTTTTAACCCTAGAAGAACTGCATAAAAAAGTATTGACAGACTTAAACAGTAGTTGAAATTTTCAGTTCCAAACAATTAAACGCAATTCGACATTTACGAAACTTGCCGGGGCCAGAAATGGTTGGGTCGAAGATGCCTTATATGCCACGAAAATATGACAGCGGAAATATTCGAAGACCGGTTCGAAAATAAACTATAATTGTGTAAGATAATGCCTCGTATCATTCAGCCTAAATTAGAAAAATTCCAAATACTTGTTCAAATAAAGAAGACATTCAAGAATTGAAGAAAATGATTAATATTTTGAAGAGGGCTGCACGAAAAAACAACTTCCGGAATTATTAAAAGTAAAACGTTTTAAGGAAGACATGAAACATGAAATCACGAGACTACCCTCGTATCGTTGTATATTTCACGCGATTGAGATGATTTGGTCCGAGTTGAAAGCGCATATAAGAAGAAATGACTCGGCACCAAAATTTAGTGATTATATATTTTGTCGCTATACACCGCGAGATTTATTCGTTCCCGACGGGATATCATTCGATTTGTCGCGAACGACATTACCGGACAAATTTTTCATAACCGGGTTTGCTGCGCGCGGCCTCTCGCATTTTTAATTAAGCTACGAGACGATTTGCACCGCGGTAATTGCTGTTTGCACAGCGAGCAAGCGATAATCGTAAATACCGTGGCGTTTCTTCATAAATCGAGCGTACTCGACGTCAAGTCCGAACCTCGTCTTAGATGTAACTCGTTAATAGAAATAAATTGCGCAGATAACAACAGTGTCAGCGCGGTTCGCGAGGTACGGTTTCCTTTGACCGGCCTTACCAATAAATTACCCAGTTATGAATTTAATTAAACGCGTGTATGTGGTGCGATATATTTTGAGGACCGTGCAGAGCTACACACTGCGCTTGCAGGCTGCTTTCGTAATGAAACGTTCGCAGTTTTTATGTAAAACTAAAACGAACTTGATTTTTTTTAAGACTGTATATTCTGTATGGTGGTGGTTTGTCAAGAACTGACTTACAATTGTACGTGTACACATATTTATATAAATAAGAATTATAAATAACATAGAGAAAAGGGTAACTTATAATAATTGAACTGAGGTGGCTTTTACTTGATGAAAATTATATATTTTCAGATTTTCTTTATTAAAGTAATATTTCCAAACTACCTGCTACTATATATACCGAAAAATGACATTAAAACCGTAATTAAAGTTGTTGTGAGAATTTCAGTTTAATAATGGAGAGGTATTTAAATCTAATTGATCGTTAAGTAATAAATTTGAATGTCTCATTTTGTTAATCTCAATCTAAAATAAATTTAATTTGCTACTTTTTGTGGCTGTAAGTAAAATATCAAAATTGTCGTCAAAAAAGTGTTTTTCTGTGTTTAAGTGTGTTCCTTAATGGATGTTCTAGTATGATATTTTCCAAATTATCCACAAAAATCTCGGCAAACAAAGGACTAAGTGGGTTTCCCATAATCAAACCTTCTTTAGAGATGTAAATCTGTCTATTAAATTCAAAATAATTTTGGTCTAAAGATACTATTAAGCAATCTAATAAATCATGTTTCACCAATGGGTTAACCTGTTTCCGAGTGTGGGTAAAATCTACTAAATTTATCACATCCATAGATGGAATACTGGGAAATAAGTTTTGTACATCAAAAGACAATAGTGTTGCGTTGAAAGGGATTTTGATATCTTTAATTTTGTTGATTAATTCAAAAGAATTTTTTATTGCAAATTTTGGTTTAAGATCTGTGTGAACTTTAACATATTTACTAATTTTGTTGAGAGTTTAACTGCTGGAGCTGTTACATAAGACACGACTGGTCTAAGGGACATGTCTTGTTCGTGTAATTTAACTAAAGAATATAATTTCGAAGGTTGTGGATTCATAATTGTTAAAAAATACTTGTCTTTGTCACTAAATAGTGTGGAGTTAGTAATTACTTCTTTGTCTTGTCCTTGATATAACTCGGTGGGATCATGTTTGATACATTGGAAAAGTTCTGGTTTAAGAAAATTGTTGGTTACTATAGCTTTTATAATCCTTGAAATCTTCATTTGCTGCTAAATGGGCGTTTCTTTAAATTGTTTTTTTTTATTACATGTTTACTGTTTCTTTGTTTAAGGTCCATTTGTACCTGGTCTAGTACTATTATTATTATTATTACTGTAATTACTGTGATAGCTCTTAGAAATCCTTAATTATTTGATTCACTTCATATCTATGGACATACCATAGATGTTTAGAGCATTTGTTTTCGTATCAATGCCGCACGTAGTTATACTTAGCAACCAAGAACGTTGACACCCTGTAAAGTAGATAACCTCGTTTTTAGAATCGACTTTGTGAAATGTACTGGTTCGCTCAATGCTAAAATCGTAATACATTAGAGTCGCGGACTTTATGAGATGTCGTGACTATCTCTGTTTGCATCGAATGCTGCGAGATCTCGCGCGAGTTTTACTTTCGCATGTACACCCAGGAACGTCCACTCCAAACGCGTGGAATTCGATTTATTGGCATTTTTTAATGCGTGATAGTGATGGCGGGCATATGTGATGAGTTTGGCACTAGTCTTGTTTCTTGAAAAAAATTCTTTCGGAAATTATACTCAGTCCTCACTAAACTCGAGATCTTGATAATGGTGCATCGTACAGCATAGCCTTTGGTATAGATGGAATCAGCATCGAAAAAAAAAACGTTTTTTTTTGTCTGTCCGTTCTCTGTTCCAGGGTTTTTCGGCGTTCGTCCATCTTTTTTTTTCGATTTTCGACTGTTTGTTGGGCGTCGCTATGAAACAAGATAAGTGTCCGAAATTTGAAGCTATCGACTTCAAATTTGGCAGACAAATAGCGTTTGGTCCCCTAACGGAACCTATTGAAATCTGGGGGGGGGGGTCGGGAAGTATTTTAAAAAAATTAAAAACTGCAAGAGTCTAAGGAAAAGGCCATTTCTGAAAAACTGCTTACAGAACCGAAAAAATTCTTGAACCAGAAGACGCAGAAGATACGGCCCCATAAACTTTTATTTTTGACAATTTTTAAATTTTTAAAATCTGTGTGGACTTTAACATATTTACTAATTTTGTTGAGAGTTTAACTGCTGGAGCTGTTAGATAAGACACGACTGGTCTAAGGGACATATCTTGTTCGTGTAATTTAACTAAAGAATATAATTTCGAAGGTTGTGGATTCATAATTGTTAAAAAATACTTGTCTTTGTCACTAAATAGTGTGGAGTTAGTAATTACTTCTTTGCCTTGTCCTTAATATAACTCGGTAGGATCATGTTTGATACATTGGAAAAGTTCTGGTTTAAAAAAATTGTTGGTTTTTGAAATATATTCTGGGAGATCGATAGCCATGACTCTTTTCCCTTTATCTGCACGTGTAAATATTATGTTATTTCCAGAAGCTTCGTTTCTGATAGTTTTTACTAGTGATATTTGAGAAATTTTTTGGTGTTTGTTGTTTATTATATTCGCTAATACATGTTTGTTTAAATTAGAATGGTTAATGTCCTTAATTGCTAATTCACAGTCGATCCCCGTTTCGTGAAAATCTGCACTTTTAGTTCTTATTTATTTTGTTTAACTTATAATAACTTACCCAACGGACAATCGTGTTTAAAACTAGAATTACTATTTCTATCTAAGTTATTACAAACAGTATCGAACATATTCTCGAAGATGGACTATAGAAATGTCTCCCCAAGGAATACTATATACAATTCTAATTAACAGACATAAAAGCACAATAAATAGATTCGGATGTTATTTTAATCAAAATCAGTTAATGATTCCTAAATCATCCGCCACAAACGAAACTTTCAGCTTGGTCTGGGAACAGTAGTGCTTTTTAGCTAGCTATGAAACAAGATAAGTGTCCGAAATTTGAAGCTATCGACTTCAAATTTGGCAGACAAATAGCGTTTGGTCCCCTAACGGAACCTATTGAAATCTGGGGGGGGGGTCGGGAAGTATTTTAAAAAAATTAAAAACTGCAAGAGTCTAAGGAAAAGGCCATTTCTGGAAAACTGCTTACAGAACCGAAAAAATTCTTGAACCAGAAGACGCAGAAGATACGGCCCCATAAACTTTTATTTTTGACAATTTTTCAAAAATGTACAGGGTGCGCCGTAAATTAAAAAAAAACTGAAAATTGGGTCCCCTCAATATTGAAAATTGGCATTAATTAAAGGACTGTGTTTCAGATATCAGTTTCTTTTTCATGGCAATAAAGCTTGCATACGCAGCTAAAACTCTTGTATTTAAGATTTTCACCTATTGTACAGGGTGTTCACGATATTCTCTGTAATATTAGAAAAAGCAGTAGGTGCCCTAAATTTGCAGCTACCGGCTTCAGATTTGGCAGAGAAGTAGAAGTGCAGACCCACATTTAAACTATGGTTTCAGATAAATCTAATTTTCTCAAAAACCATTTACTATTTTAGCAAAATTCTTGGACCAGGAAACGTGGATGATCCAAGGCTATAACCTCCATTTACGAAATTTTTTCAAATATGTACGGGGTGTGTCGATTATGGGTAAAAAAATTAAAAAAAAAAGATCCTGAAAATATTGCCATTTGTGTGTCATAAACTGCATCGACAAAGTTTCAGGTTTCGTCTATCATACGGGGCGCGCGTGACACTTGGAATAGCATCATTGGAAATCGTTATTACTTGTACAATTTTTTATATTTATCAAAGTTTGTAGTGACTTTAAAATTCGGCGATACGTGAAAGACGCTTTATACAGGGTGAAATAGAAAGCTGCTTGGCACTACGCGCTACGAACTTGCCCCACCCAGCGACGATTTTTCGAAAGCAGTTTCGACGATTTTTTTAGATCTTAAAAGAGCTTTGGAAGCCGGATGTGAATGATTCAATGGATACCTTGGAAAATTTAAGTGTAGATCACTAGATTGTTTAAAATCCTACTTATATGGAAATAGACGAAAGGTGAACCATGAGTCAGCTGTGTCTGAATCAATTGCGGTATAAGAAACGTATAAAGTTTTTGGGAATTGCATTGGATCTACCGTTAAACTTTGACGCTCATTAAGATTATATAATGAGAAAATTTTCAAAACAGGTAGCTAAAATTTTCTGACTTGAGTTTGGAGAAAACCGTGAGACATTTGGCATGGTTTTCTATTACATTTCAGGATTACGCGCATTTCTGTATAGTATATGGTCCGTTCATAGATATGAGAAAGTAACCAATTGCTTTTGAATGGGATTATCCAAGGGTGGTCATCAACATACAATGCAACAAAATTATTACCTAAAGTTTCGGAATTTAAATTCAGGTAAAATTGTGATCAGTAATAGAAAATAATTTTATACCTACCTGTGTTTAATAT